TCGAAACAATGCTTGGGCCGCCTTCAATATAATCCGCAGGACTTTTTGCGACGAGGCGTCACCCGTGATGAAACCTGGTTACATTACTTACACGCCCATGTACTTTCTGCAGAATGAAAAACAATTAAAAAGCAGTAATAAAATGCATTGTTGGACATATTTGATAATAAATTGAAGGAGACACAGCCCCATTTAGCTAAAACAAAAAAAAGTAATCTTCAATCACATTCACTTGTAATTGTTGCGCCCGACCTGGAATCCAACGACTTTTTTCTGTTCCCAATTTAAAAAGATGGGTTGCAGGAAAAGTGCCGCCTAAAAGAAGAGGTCTTCACCGAAGCAGCTTATTTTAGGTAGTTGGGAAAGTACAATAACTTTACAAGTATTGATCAGCCCTCGTACATTCGCACTATCCTAGTTTACCTTTTGAGTAAAAGGGATAAAAATAGTCATAAATTTTTATGAACAGAACAAAACTGCACTTAAAGGCAGGACAACATATAAAGTCTTAAAATAAAATGCAGGAACTACAATTTTTATTTGCAACTGCTGCTGTTGTTTTATGTTTAACTTTTATTTCGTTTGCTGCACAATTGAACCACATTTTTAGTTAAGCCTCTAGGTCTAGACTCGCAACGATAAGAGCAAGAGGAAGGGGTATATGTTCGCGGAGTTGACAAAATAGATAGGAGGTCAGTCTTGGAGTAACGTATTGTGAAGAGTGTTGGCAACTCTGCCATTAAAAAGTTAGCATATTCTTGATCCATTGCAGTTCTGGTACTCATGGGATTTTGATTAAATTTTTCCCCCGCTTTTTGTACATATTAGAAACTGTCCGTTCACTCATAAATTGTAAAACACAATTTATATATATTTCAGTTGAAAAGGCACCGTATAACCTGTACTCTTTATTATTAACTAATTATAGATACACACCAATTTATGATGACCATTTTTGTGAATAAATAAAATGAAAATTTCAATTTTGGTATTACAAAAGTAATATTTATTATTTCAAAAACAGTTTTAATAACTTTAAAGAGCATAAACAACTTTTATATGTATATATCTTAAAGTTGGCTTGCCAGAAGGGCAAACCTGAGGATTCGTATCGAAACAGACGGAACTTTTAGAATAAATGTCTCCGCTTCTGGAACGATAGGTTTTGTTTGCAGGACAGATAAGTATCTACTTAGAGTCGCACATGCACATAAGTATATACATACATACATACATTGATAGTACATATACACACATGCTTAGTATATCTACTGCACGTAGAATTAAAACTTCCTTCCTTTTTCTATTTTGCTTTGTTGTTTTTTTGTGTGTGTGTTGTATGCGTGTGCGTGTGCGTTTGCCTTTGCTTGCATGTATAGAATTTGGTGATAAAGTCATAGTAGCTCAGTGTGGGTCGCGTGAGTGTGGATAATGTTCCATACACCTACACACAACTACACATACGAGTACATACACACATACTTTCAAGGGTACATGTGCATAATAAGGTGCGATTTGTCTCGCGCATAAAACGAAATTTCCTGCCCCACACACACACACACACACACATACATACATATATACACAAACAATAGCCGCTCGAGTCGGGCTCACATGCAGGGGCATGGATCTAAGTGAGATTGTGTGTGCGTTACACATTCGATTGCTTGGCTGGCGTTTGTGTGCGACACCGACACAGTCACAGACACAGTCACAGACACAGACACAGGCACAGACAGAGACACCGACTTCTTTGTAGGTTAAAGCTGATGTCAAGGCAGGAAAATGGGCGTCAAAAAGCGTAAGAAGGGTTGCACGGGTCGAGGCAAACTAGTTTGCCATAATTATAGCTTTTGTTGCACACACACACACACACACACACACACACACATACAGATACATAAACGAAGGATTGCTTCCTATGGCCGCATTATTCTAACCGGAAATGTGTCTGTCTGCCTGTCTTCCCTGTGAGCACTTGTATGTATGTGTGCGTGTGTGTGTGTGTGTGTGTGCGTGTGCTAAATTTGTGAACTGCCTGAACTCGTGCTCTCAGATTTCTAAGCTCGCCCCAGCACCGGCGACAACATTTACGAAATTTTTATGACAAAGCCAGCGTTTTCATTTTAGATGCTCGCTCTTGCTTCGCTCTCTGACGCTCATTTTCTGAGCTACAGTCGCCTACTCACCCACACCCACACCTACACCAAACGCCCACGCCCACAGTCAACCCCACGGGCAATGCCAGCGCCCACTTTTATGACAAATATTATGTTAAAGACCGAATATGCGCTACACCATAAAAGTCAATCATTTTTCATTTCGCGTGCATCACGTCCCCAACTTTCTCTCTCGCTCGCTTGCTCTCCCTCTCTCTCTCTCTGTTTTTCTCTCTCCCTCTCACTTTCTCACTGTCAGTTCCTGTAATTCTCACGTCTGCCTTCTGCTCCAGCCGTGGGGCGCGTTTGCTTTACTTCTTTGCTGAGTTCCCTCCTATTTTTTTTTTTTTTTGTTTTTTTTTTGGCACTTTGTCCTCTGGGGACATTTAATTTTTGGTGGTCATTCGTTGTGATTTGTGTTTGATATACGATATGTTGAATGCAGTCTGTCTTTATGTATGAATGTACGTTCGTCGGTTCGTCTGTTTGTTTGTTTGCTTGTTTGCTTGTGTGTTTATGTGTAAGCGGCCGCACCATTCGGGCTGACGGTTGTTGGTTTTTGGCGCGGCTCGCTTCAATTTATGTTGTGCGTCTTCAATGTTTGCCTTTCCTGTCGATTTTCACGAATTTGGCTTGTTGTTGTGTTGGGTGCGCCACCCACCCACTCCATTCCACTACCTTCTTATCCGCATGGCGAGCTTAGGGTGAGTGAAAAACGTTTTGTTTTTCCTCTTCTCTTTTTTGTATATGTACACATATGTATGGGTGTACATATATATTTTTTATATTGATAAGTTCATTTAATGGACTTTGGACGGGCCATGCAACGCTTGTTTGTGTACACACATACATATGTATATTGAAGAGCCTTACGTCTAATGAGTTTAATACTTTGTTATCAGCAGTGTAATCTGATTATGTAACGTTCGTTGCTAAATTTTTCAACATAATTGAATGTTAAATTGTGTCGTTTAATGTTTTATTGTGGCTTTGACAACAGCTTACATACATAATACCTTTATATATACATATGTATGTACACATACATATGTATATGTATAGTCGCATGTTAAGCCATTTTGTTAATTTTATATCTTCCAGCAGACACACTCCTCCAATCACCTCTGGCTCCCCTCTCTAAGGCCATAACCAATTATTTGAACTCATATTGTCAATGACGGAAGCCACTTTCATTTTATAGGAAAAGCGAATGAAACTTAACGGAAAAGAAAATTACATCATGCTCGTTTCAATGGGTCCACATAATATTATTTTCTGCTTTTTTGTATTTTTATTTGCTTCGCAGTGTGTGCACGTTCGCACTTGCACCCTCCCAGTCGTCCACCCCACGCCTCAATTCGACAGGCGTAGATTGTGTCACTGTGCTTCATCATCTTCAGTTCTACACATACATACACACATACATATGCATGCATATATGTATATATGTATATATGTGTGTCTGTAGTCGTCGACTTTTTATTTATTTATTTTATGCCTACGCATATACGCGTAGATTCTGGAGCACGTTTGACAGGTGTCGCCAACTGAGTGGCTGGGCTGGCTGCCTGGCTGGCTGGCTGCCTGGCTGGCAATGCCTGCTGGGATGCGAAGCGGCAGGGGTTGGCAGCAAGGAGGGTGAAAAATGTAGCCTATTATTCTTTGTATTGTTTTATGTGGCATTTATACGTTTATTTTTGTTGTCTTTTAATAGGAGGCGCAAAGTACGTTCAATGAAGCAACCAAATACAAAAATGTGGTAGCATACAAAATAACAAAGACGACACCAGCCAGCACCAGCTCTCGCCTACACGTTCTTCAGACAGCCACTGACAACCAACCAAGCAACCAACAAGGACCAGCTAGGCACCGCGAAGACTACGGCTTCTGCTCCTGTTCCACAAACCAGCTGCTCGGGGCTGTGTCTGTTGGCGTTTTATCATCATCCAATCAGTAGATAAATAACACATAAAATGAGGTGCTTAATCGGGTTTGAAGTGATGAAAGTGAGACTGTGCCATAAGTATGCGGCGCTTTGTGTGCTAGCGCCGTCGGCTATGTCTTTGTCTTTCTCTTTTGTTTCAGGTAACAACTTTATATTTGGATATCATTAACAGTTATGTGATTTGTGTGTGTGAGTCCCTGTGTGTGTGTCCCCTAATATACACGACGTCACGCTCTTTATTTCGTCCAGCTTAATAAACTGTCTGTAGAGTGACAATATAATTTTTGTTTAAATTGCACGCGTAAAAAAGTGATTTGTCAATATTATGTGCATAAATTAGACCAGATCAGGTAACCTATAAACAAAAATAAAGAGGAAAGAACAACCACGAGCGAACATTTTTTATTTGGCTTGCAATAGAATAGAATAGAATAGAAAAATAAGCAATATTTGTATTAAATGCATTACCTGTTTTGAAATATATACAAGATTAAAAAAGTTCTTACATTTTGTGAATTCAAGCCTAGAACTTTTTGGCGGGCTAAAATACATTTATAAAAAATGCATACTTTCGCCGTTGAGGGGCGCAAAGTACACTTCTGGCGCCCTCAGTTGAAAATTGTGGAAGTAAATTTCGACAATTTGGTCACATTAATATTTCGATACATAATTATCGAAGCCCACCGATACAAATCGATGTGACTGCTTGAATATCATTTGCTACATTTAAATATCATAAGTAGCAGATTAAGTAGTCTCAAATTTTTAGCTTGATGTTAAGAAAAGATATATATTTTCTCTGGTGCATTAGCATCAACCATAAAGAAGCCCTTATGCTTTGCTTTATGATAATACTTACTGACCGCAGTCATACATTCTATAAAAAAAATTGTGCATTTATAGAACTAACCTTTTTGTTAATATTTATCTTTAATGAACAGTAGAGAGTAAAAAAAAGCGTATCACTTAAACTGCGTTAGCTTGAACTTCCTACTGGTAGTATAGTTCCAAATTCATTCCATCGTGGATTTCATCTGAATACGAAAAAGGGCTATTATTATTATCAAAGCCTAACATGAACATTTATCAAAGTGCTTACAGTCGGAAAGGCGAATGGGGTCCTTGTAAATTGTATACCACTTCTTGAGTACAATCTTCTCGTGTTTTGTACCTGTTTGTGCAGCTATAAGTTTCTTTAGGTCTCCAATTGTGTCGTCCGGGTTACACTTGACGCGCACCTTTATTAAACATAATGGCGCTAGTACTGTAATCTGGGTTAACGTAAAGCAATATGTCATTATTCTTACCTTCTTGCCAAGACGATCGTTGCAGGTGATTTCAATCATTTTGAGAGTTTAATTATATTTCTGTGCAGTTTTCAATACAACAATTCAACATTAGTGATGGATTATAGAGAAGGGCAATACTTACGACCCCGTTATTTGTAACGAGTACTAAAATTTCACAAGGTTTTTGGTGATTAAAGTATTTTAAAACATTTCCGTTAAATAAGGAACAATTCCTTCTTGGAGTATTAATGAAGCTTCATCGGTATGATTTTTTTATTCTGCCACTTGCAGCTTGAGTATACTCGACCTATAGGTCGAACGGCCAAATTCGAACTGTTGGCGCCGAAGAGCGCAAAATGTAGAAATCATCGATATATTGAAGTCGTCATCGGTTATCATTGTGGAACTAATAGAACACTGCTCGTTTCTAAAAGCCAATAAACAACAAAAGGCGCACTGTTTTCTACATTTTTTGTGATAATTCTTGTGTTGAATTCAATTTGAAAATATGTCGATGATACCATTTTTCCCGAATTTGCAGCCGTCGGTGCCAAATCAATATTGGTTCGATATGGTTCCCGTTAGTGAAGAGTCACAGACAACGCGCTATGAAGATGAGCGCCGAACTTGGGTAAGCAAGCAAAACCCCTAAAACAATTTAAGGTACGATTTACTTTGTACAATATTATAGCGGGAATCAATGAAAACAGCAGCGACAGATCTACAACCACTCGGCAAGGTTCTTACCCTTCCCGGCATTGAGACTGACGATGAAGACGGTAAGTCAGCAAATAAAGTTTATTCGCGTGACTCTTCAATTTAGTTGTTACAGCCAACGATGATAGCGAGGACTCCGACAGTCATGATGAAGAAGACGATGAGACCAACGACCGCATACCGGTCACTCAAGATTTCTACTCGGCTGATGATATACAAATGAATGATGATACATCCGCCACAGCGCCCTAGATGTCAGACACGCACACCCATTTGTCGCATAGACTCCGTATCAGGTATTGATTCTTGCGGTTTACTACGTTCGCTTTACAAACTGCATTAACAATTGTCAGTAACTTTAAGGCTTAAATTAAATTAAAACAAAATAAGCATTGTGGTGACAGTTGTGACGGGGTTTGCTGTACAGCCTGCAGCCTGAAACTAACTGGGAAGCCGGTACAAAGATGCACAAACAAAGAGTAACGTAAATGGGCGCTCCTCTACTTGTGCAGCGCCGCAGTCTCCAGCTTGGGCGAGGGTTTCGATACCAGACCAGAAAGCAGTTTCTTAATCTCGGCAATAGCGCGGCCGGGATTAAGACCCTTCGGACAGGTGCGCGTGCAGTTCATGATGGTGTGGCAACGGTACACACTGAAGGGGTCTTTCAACTTGTTAAGGCGCTCAGCGGTGTTCTCGTCACGTGAATCGATGATCCAACGATAGGCCTGCATCAGGACAGCTGGGCCGAGGTACTTCTCAGCATTCCACCAATATGAAGGACACGCAGTTGAGCAGCAAGCGCATAGAATGCACTCGTATAGACCATCCAACTTGGAACGATCCTCAACGGACTGCAAGTACTGTGCTTTGCCCTTCTTCTCAGTGGCTTCGTTTCTAGACGAAGTAAAGTAGCGTCAGTAAAAAGAAAATAGAGCGAATGAATTTGAATATCTTACTTGCGCTGCAACCAGGGCTGAATGTTTCTGTACTGCTCGTAGAAGTTGTTCATGTCCGGCACCAAGTCACGCACCACATACATGTGCGGCAATGGGTACACCTTCAGCGACTTTGAAGTGTTTGTATCTATTTTGCTGAAAGCAAAGGAATCATTTGTCTCAAGTCTAAATAACAGATTTGTATCTATACATACCTGATACAGGCCAAGGTATTGGTACCACCAATATTCATGGCACATGAGCCGCAAATACCCTCCCGGCACGATCGCCGAAAGGTCAGCGTGGGATCCACTTCGTTTTTGATCTTGATGAGGGCATCCAACACCATGGGTCCACACTCGCGCAAGTCAATCTCATAGGTTTGCATGTAGGGTTTCTCGCCGCTGTTATCCGGACTCCACCGGTAGATCTCAAACTTCTTGATTTGGGGCTGCTTGGCCTCTTTGGGCTGTGCCTGTTGGTCCAGTTGGGCTGTGCCATTGCTGATGGCTCGCAACTGCAAACGCGCATTAAAGCAATACTTGTATCAAAGTTGATTGTTGTTTTGTTGTTGTTAGTGGAAGACAATTTTCGTCACGCCATCTTAATCAGCAGAAATGTTTACATAATCATTTTCTGCGATTTCACTGCAGCCAATTACGGCATATTTTATACGAATTATTGCGAAATTTGGACTTTACGAACAGCTGTTTTCGACTGCAAATTATATAATTTGCATTTGCCAGCCAACAAGCCGCCGGCACGCCCACCTAAAGGGCGTCAAATGGTCTCTTACCTGATGACGTGCAGCCAAAGAACTGGCGCGACTAAGTAAGTGTCTAGCTTCATTGACCAACATTTTCGTTTTAGTAGGCGAAATTGAAACGACACTGCGTTTGCAATTAATTAGCAAATTGATTTTTCAATAAACGGAAAATATCTTCTCGAGCTGGTGGCAGCTAGAGATGAACGCTCTTCACTTATTTGCAACTGGCGTGATAGTCAGCTACTACCGATATATCACTTTCGATTTTTAATATCGTTGCTCGATATCTTACAATTGTTGGTTTGTGCCTTGGCTAAAGAGTTATCCATTCACGAACACTTATCCAACACTTATTTGGCGCGTATTTTATATTTGAAATAATCAGACTGTCTTATATGGAATTAATTTTGCTTTCTATTTATTTATCAGATGAGTTTTACATACAAAATTATTATTTAACTTTCCAAAAAAGTTTATTTTAAGATTATAAATAACTGTTTTGCAATTTATGTAAAGTGTGATTAATTTTATAATATTGAGTTACATTTCTATAAAATGTTCATTGCAAATTTGTTCGTTTCTGGAAACATAATAATTTACAAACTTATGGCCCTGCGGTTGGTTGACCAGAGTAATGAGTTCAACTTTCCAATTACAAACTTTTAATTGAGCGTGCAAAAATAAAATAAATACTTTGAATATTTTGCAGCACATTGTTGTATTTAAAGTTGAAGACGCAATGACGACGCACTCTCCAATAAATCAAAACCATAGACAGTTGGCGGGCAGCAGGAACACGGATCTAGTATATACAACTTTTTAAATAGCATTTCTGACCCCACAACTTCAACGGTGTGGCTCGACAATTTAGCGTTGACCTTAACAAATCATTGACGCAGCGAAAAGGTAGTGGCAAAAACTTTCCACCTCAGATTCAGCTAGTAAACGGAAAAAGTTGAAAAGTGGGTCTCTCGCTTTATGGAAAAGAATCGAAGAAAACTTTTTCAATGCTAAAACAAACACAAGTTTGCACAAGAGTTTCAACTGCCGCTTGGGACTTTCGAATACAATAGGCAAGCGCTCTTATAGAAACTTACAGGGCGCATTAAAGGCAAACAAAAACGTAAATAAAAATTGAGCGGACGCTGAGGGTGCTGAAAAATCGGCACAAAGCAGCAGCTTAGTCCCAACAAATCCTGCAATAAAGGGCGAAAATAACAACAGCCGCTTGGTCACAATTTATATGGCGATTATTTTCAATTTCAATTGATTGTTGCTAATGAATGCAAATGACGTCAGTGATAAGCCGTACACACATTCTTTGAAAACGGATTTGTTATATAAAATCAGTTGTTCGCTCCGAAGTTAAACAGGCTCAAAAAATCAATAACTCGGAGACGAAATTGAAAGCAAAAAATAATCCTAGAAATTGTAACATGAAACTATTGCAAAACACTGAGAAACTTACTGTTTAACAATGTAATATGTTTTTGAGTATATTTCTATTTGATTCGGATTTGATGCACTATTTTATTCACCATTTGTATTTCGTTACACCATTTCCATGTGATGCTTTAAGTATTAAATTGAGGAATTTCCATTGTCGAGCCTTTCAAACGCTGCCCCAAAAGATATGCAACAGAAAATCAATACAAATGGATGATAATAAAAGAAAAGTTCACTTTATTTACAGCAAAAGGAGGAAAATGAAAAGCTGTCAAGTGCTCAGATTTACCAAATTGAGCGGCCATTTGATAAATGCTTCTAGGGCCATAAAAGAGGCATGTTCGAATTGATTTGGACTCTTCCAGTGTTTAACTGCTACTGGCCCCACCAGTTCATTGATAAACTATTTTGTGGCTGCTATTCATGACACCCACACATTCGGAGAGAAATACAAACACACATTTTGCTATATAACTGCTTGAATAACTTTTGAAGTGCGCTATCAATGGCTACAAGTGACACATAAATGGCATTTAGATTTGTACATTTGTCTGGCGTAGCTATTGGGTGAGTGTGTGTGTGTGTGTGTGCCAACTGTGCGACAATATTGACAAAGTTTTCTGTATTAAAGCGACATTCATACGGCGCCATTTCCCTGGGGTGCCATAAAAAATATGCTCTTACGCAGTTAGAGCCTCTCACATACATACATAAACATACAGCCAGACGTACTATGTACGTGTATATTGAAAGGAGCAGGCAGACAGACGATTGCCTACAAGTACTCACATTGTAATTCAATATAACGACAATGAGTGGAGGCATGAGGGGTATGTGTGTAAGCCACTTGACGCACTTTGTTACAATCTATATGAATTATGTATGATTGCTTGATGGCAAGGGTCACATATGGAAACGTTTGCCAATCATCAATTGGGCCTGGCTCGTTATGTGTTTGACATTTAATATGTCATTAGAGCTGCTCAAATCACATGCATGGAAGAGCATCGTCAGACACCCCCACGTAGCGCACACAAAACAAAAACCTTTTGGTAAATGAACACAAATTTGCAGCAATTTGTTTACAGTCCTCATGCCCTCCTTCAATCAGTATATATACTTGTACGCGTCTTTAAAGGCAACAAAATCTTATTCACATAAATGCTAATCCTGTGAGTTGCTTTACAGAAATATTTTTAAGGTACCAACGATGCAGCACATTCATTGTGGCTATTCGAAAAGTAAAACCAAAACTGAAAGTCTAATTCTAACACTTTTATATTATAGCATGGATAGTATGTCGGTAACAAATTAAATAATATGTTAAAATATTGATTACTTTTCTGTTCATAACAGGGATTTGTTCTATATCAAACATTTCTAACATATGTACTTAAAACAATACTGAATAGAAATGTGTTTACTATTTTCTTTATCTATCTAGCCATGACAGCATCTTCTTTCTTAAACATTAACAATTAGGAGATACTACGACATAAATATAAATAATAAAAAATGGCAGTTACACTCTGTGTAAATATAAACCTACGCAATAAGTCTATAACTAGAACTTAGTTCAACATTTTGTATTTAATACTTGGAATTTTAAAATTAATTTGTTCTTCACATTTATGCTTATCATTAACAGTTTTCATGATTTCAATCAATTTTATTGTATTTATTTATTAACTTATCCAAGCGTTACATGTACCAGATTACTTTTAAGTTATTGCGCTAGTCATTACATATTTATTTCTAATTTAATACAGTCTATTAATTTAATTACTAAATCAAGTTTGATTTAATTTTATTTCACATTGAACATTACAATTATTAATTTATTTGTTTGTAAGTCCTACTAATATAAGTGTGATAAGTATTGTAATATATATTAATGAAGAAGAAGTAGTAATAATAATGAAAAAATGCTTATATCTAATGCAGACTAAATTATTTGTTCTTGATGTGGAAAAACTGATTCTTTTGTAAAAATAATTTGGTTCTGCAAGAATGTGCTATTCACAAAATAAATAAAGGATTAAAATGCAGCTTCACATTTTGAGATTTTCTTGTGTAAATTGGTAAAAATACTGTGCTAATATCTGTTGTGTCTAGAATTCCATTTGCGTTTTGTTTATGTGCACTTTTTTACAATTTTATATTTTCCCTCTTGAGCTGCTTTTACGGCAGCCAACTTGAATCTGTGAGCTGTTTCTGAGCTTGTTTTATTTTTGGATCGGCGACAGGTGCCCTCATCATAACAACATAATTTTTTGCTTTATTTTTGCATGCAAAATTTGATGTGAGTTCTTTTGCTGTTCACGTGCATTTCTTTTCTTTAGAGGAACAGCGTACGGTCGAGTTTCTTATTTGCCTGTCCTGGCAGTCGTGCTTAAGGACATCAAAATTTATGCGGTGTGCGCAAGATGCTTTAATGTGCTTAAGAGATGGAAAGATTGAAGTGAAAAGCGGAAAAGTGCGCCCTCGACAGACGTCGAGCGAAGGGAACCAAAACACCTGTGCGTGCTGTCCGCCAAAAAAAAGTTTGTTCCATTGACAGAAATGGAAAACAGCGTTGGTAGCGAGATTTAAGGTCAGCTTAAAGTTGATGTCAGTGGGCCGTTCGTGAGTTCGCTCTCATTTAAATCAACTTACAGCGACAAGTCTGTGTAATTCGATGCTCAGTCGAGACGCTATCGCCTTTGGCGCATAAAACTATTTATCAACCTGATAGCGGCGACTTCTCGGGTCCAACAACAAAGATGTCAGCGCAACGCAAACAAACAAGTTATCAAAGACGCATCAGGCACAAGGTCGCCGTGGCCTAGACACGGACCGTGTATTGCTGAGTACTGTAGTCACGAAGGCAGGACACACGGTAAGTTAAGCATGTACGGCTCAGATGACAACACGTACAATAAACACTTATTTTTTGTTCGTGCCCTGGCTTGGCAGTTGGGACTGATATGCCACACCAGTAACTGCTGCCTTCGCCTACTTTGTTTGCAGTCCACAGCAGCACGCACGGCTCTCGCAATGAAGTGGAACTTGCCAGGACATAAATTTCCCTACACACAGACCAGTGATAGTAGCATCGAAAGCCCATGAACAACTTTGGCTAAATATTTAAAAGGTAGTACGCAACGGTGTCAACATATTTATGTGCGTGCTCTCCGGCTCAAAGGCGCGCCACGGCTGCTGGTTAAGACATTCTATTTAGTTAAACATTAAATGCTTGAATGTAAATTTAAGAGAATTTTCGGTATAATATTTAAATGCAAGTTGATTTTCAAAGTAAACAGGAATATGGTATTATGTGATTACTTGGTTGGAAATACTTATTCAGTAAAATTACATGATATTTATTTCAATAAATGTAGAGTTATAGCTCACAAAGTAACACTGTAGCTGATTTATTGGTACAAAAATGAGCATTGAAAAAATAGCTATGCATTTTTAAATAAAATGTTTCAGTCGATGAATCAAGCTTACATTAGTAATTGATTATACCGTTGCGAGATCATGGGTGGAACACGCGGATTAAATGACGAAAACTATGTTTAATAATGAAGATGCAGTCGAAAAAGTGTTTAAACTGCATTCAAAATAATCATTGAAATCAATACAAATGGAGTGAAGCATCTCTAAAACATCTATTTCTTGCATTTTTGAGCGAAACTAAGCTAAACCAATTCAATAGAAATCCAACATTTTCTTGTAAATACAGCAGCTTTCACTTTTCAATA